TTCTTCCTTTTTTTTAGGCAGTTTTCGTGAAATCAACTTGGATACAGTAAAGTATTTATGCATTAAAGGCAAACTTGTAGTGCCAGGCAATAAACTTTGTCCACAATGCAGACATAAGTTAGGATCAATTATAGAATCAGAAGAGATCGAGTTCGAGATAAAATTAGCTAAAGATAATATGGAAAAAGAAATTATACTGAAATCAACAAGATCATTGATCAACAGTACTTTGTGTGAACTTGAAGTGTCTCCGTTAAAAGCTCATTTACCAAAAACCTCTAAAAAGCCTTCACTTGGAAAGAGATAAGAAAAAGCAAGTTGAAGAAGCAGTTATTAAGAAACACTTGCAGCTGCTTTGGATGTCACCGAATCCGATCTTGTTGCATCAAACAAAAATAAAGTTCTAAAGGAAATTCAAACTGCAGGCAAATTAGACTTCCTTGTTGAATGCATGAAAGAAAAACTTAAAGTCTTTAACAGAAGGCAGCAACTTCAAATTTTGACATTGACCCCAAAATCTTGGTCTATCAGGAAAAGCAGCAAAAGATTTTTCAGTTTCTAAACACAAAATTCAAAATGCAAAGCTTTTACGTGACCAATAAGGCATCATAGCTTACCCTAATGTGGTTGAACGGCATCAAATCAGTAAAGATGTTAGAACTTGTAAAGCTTTTTTACTGTGACAATGAGTATTCAAGACAAATGTCGGGTAAAAAAGACTGAGTAATTGTTAGGAAAAAAAAATGCATGCCAATCAATTTTTTATTGATTTTGTGTAACTTAAAGGAGCTCTATGTGGCATATAAGATTAAATACCAGACCATAAAATTGTATTTTCTAAATTTTTCAGTCTTCGGCCTAAATGGTGCATCCTTGCTGGTCCAAAAGGTACACATTCTGTTTGTGTATGCACAATACACCAAAATGTTAAAGTAATGTTGAATGCTGTAGGCCTTGAAACATCTTACCATGAAATCATTGAAAACATTGTCTGCAGCAGAAAATTGAAAGCTTGCATGATTCACCAATGCAATAGCAGGCTTGGTCGGGAAGCAGAACGATCGCTCTCGATTGCTAACCATGTAATTAATATTTTAAAAAGCAAAAAAAAAAAAAACCCAAAGATTAATTGGACCAATGAGAGACAATTACAATAAAAAAAAAAATTAGGCAAATAAAATATCTTTAAACGCGAAAAAACTTAAAGCTAAATAAATTACGTTTAGAACAAATATTTTCGAAACATCGCTCTTTTATAATTTTTTTTATAAAATTAAGCGTTTTTTATATAAAGTAACATCTTACTTTATATAAAAAACAATAATTTATTATGAGGAAGCGAAACTGCTTCACAATATTGCTGATAATGTTTAGTGAGTGGGCTTTTTAATTTTAATTAGTATTTAAAGTAGAAAAAAGTATAACAAGTTTTAAGAATGGCAACTTAAGCGAAAATAATTAGAGTTAGTAAACCAATATCTAGAAACTTTTCTTTATATATAATTATTTGTTATATATATTTGTATTCTGTCGTGACCTTAGGCGCAGTGCTTGTTCATCCGCGAGTTACTTTGTATGCGTTGTTTGTATTTAGTAACCAGAAACTTCTTATATGTTTGTTACATAATTAGTTTTATTAACTTTAATGATTATAACTTCATTGAAAATGCAATTGTTTTTGTAAGTCTTTGTTTAAATCATAAAAATTGCTTTAAAAGATACATTACGATAAAAAACAGGTACACAAAATTACATTTACATAAAGAATACATACTTTTTAAATAAAAAATAAGAATATACTAATAAAATCTATAATTTGTAATAAACTTTTAAAATTTTGACAATTTAATTAATATATATTTAAAACATTTATTTTTGTAAACAAATAATATATATTCTTAAAACAATTTATGCTAGAAATCTCAAAACGTAACAAATCGTGAATAATACAATTTGTAAAACATTTCAACAGAATATTCTAGAAAAATTATTTTGCTTAGAAGAAGATAAAACTTTATTTTGCTTAGTCAGCGTATTTTTTGAACCAATAGTATTAGTTTGTTTATTGATTTGGCGGGTTTTTAGTGTTCGCGAATATTCTTTTTATTCTTTTGCAACAAGAACATTCAAGTTTTTTATGTTTCCATGTATGTTCGTAAAACAAAATTTTTTTGTTTTGTACATTAACTTAAATGTTCTTAAAACGACTAAAAACCATGCCAGTTTTTCGCAACTAAAATATAATTTCCGTGGTCAGTATTAGAGAGTGATCGCTCCTGCTTCCCAACCAAGCCTGCAATAGTTGTCCTGGCATTCAAGCTGCCAAAGTTATTTCCAGCAGTATCTCACACAAAATGATGATCCAATATGACAGTGACAAAAATGAACAGCCAGTGGATTTCAAACAGTGGACAATGACAGATAGGACTGAACTATTAACAATAAAACTTCCCTTAAATGAATTCATAGAACTCCTGTGGGAAAAACTTGATAAAATTACTTCTCATTCATTTATAGCAAAATCACAATCTAGCTATCTAAAGCATCTCAAAGAAACAATTAGTATTGATGAGGCTATTGTACTAGCAGATTTTGCAGAGAATTACACTTTTGTAGTACAAGACGAGATGTATAGTTACCATTTGAGCAAGAGTCAATGTTTTCTTCATCCAGTTGTCATCTACTACAAGAAAGTGAAATTGGAAAATATCTTCTTTTTGTGTAATTTCAGATGATTTGAATTATGATGTTGGATTGCAACAAATCATGATGTTGGATTGTAATAAGCCATGGTAAATCTCTATGTGATGGAATAATTGGCACTGTTAAAAGGCTTGTTGCAACTGCTAGCTTGCAGAGTCCAACCACAGGTCAAATACTGTCTTCTAAAGCAATGTTTGAATACTTTCAAAAGTCAATCAGTGAGATTATGTTTATTTACACCCCTGCTGAAGAAATGGAGCTATTGAGAATCAAACTTACTGATAGACTTTTAATTGCAACCACTATTCTTGGGACAAGAAGTTTCCATCAATTTATACCTTCTTCTCATTCACTTATTAAAATGAAAAGGGTATCTCTTGATGATGATTTTTTTATAACATTTGACTTCAATAAACAAAAATATAAAATTAATAAATTTGACAGTGTTATGATGTCACAATACTTATTGTAAAAATATGATTTTTACTGGCTTGGTATGGTTTTTAAAATTGATAAAGAGAATGATGATTTTATGGTAAAGTTTATGCATCCACATTATCCAAGTCGGTTGTACTACTGGCCAAAACGAGTTGATAATTGTTGGGTGCCAAAAAAGTTGATGAATATTCTACTTTCTTTATTTAAATAATATAAACCTCAATTTTAGTAATATTTAGTTATTCCTTTTTCTTTTTCTTTTGAGCTTTTTTCAATAAAGCATATTTTTTACTATTTTTTTAAAAAAGTTTGCATTTTAGTTTCTTTTTTTTTTAACACTACATTTGAAGATGCAATCTAATATTTAGGCATGCAGCCAATATTTTGAAAAAATACCTAATTATTAGACATTAAGTAATAAGTAATAATGTAATTAAGTAATAATCTCAAGTTAAATTTTTATAATATAGAAATTATATTTTCAATGTGTTGTATAGTAAATTATATTTCCATGTATACTTTTGAAAATATTGATTATAAATATGCAAGTTATGCAAGCAATATAATTTTTTAATTTTCTTTCAGACCTAAACTTTTCTAAGACCTCTTATTTCACAATGAATATAATTTTTTAATTTTCTTTCAGAGAAACTTTTTTAAGACCTCTTATTTCACAATGAATATAATTTTTTAATTTTCTTTCAGAGAAACTTTTTTAAGACCTCTTATTTCACAATGAATATAATTTTTTAATTTTCTTTCAGAGAAACTTTTCTAAGACCTCTTATTTCACAATGAATATAATTTTTTAATTTTCTTTCAGAGAAACTTTTCTAAGACCTCTTATTTCACAATGAATATAATTTTTTAATTTTCTTTCAGAGAAACTTTTCTAAGACCTCTTATTTCACAATGAATATAATTTTTTAATTTTCTTTCAGACCTAAACTTTTCTAAGACCTCTTATTTCACAATGAATATAATTTTTTAATTTTCTTTCAGAGAAACTTTTCTAAGACCTCTTATTTCACAATGAATATAATTTTTTAATTTTCTTTCAGAGAAACTTTTCTAAGACCTCTTATTTCACAATAAGAGTAAGTCTACTCCAGAAATAAGTGAAATGTAAACGATGGTTACAAAACAAAAAATTTGACTGCTGATATTTTAAAATTAAAAAATTATTCTCAAATATTAAGAGTGATGTTAATTTCACTTAATCTTTACATAACACTAAATTTCACTAATTAACTAAACTAAGGAAATCAAAAGTTTTCCCTCACAAAGCCTTAAGTTGAATAAAAAATTAAAATAGCCCATTAAGTTTTAACAAAAATCACCCTGTAAAAGATAAGATCTTACTTTTGTTTTTTAAATTAATTTGGACGATCCCTAACCGAAGGACAGTCATGTCACATAATTTTAATGTTAAAATGTCACGTATTATGTAAAAAAGCGATTTCTTTTTAATTCATTTATTAACCTGAAGAAAAAATGAGGTAGCTAAAATAAAATGAAAATTATTTATATACTACTGCATTTTAAACTGAAATTTTTTAAATATTTTTTAATAAAAAAAGCATAAGAAAAATCAAAAAATAAAAATAAGTTTTTGGCGCCCATACACCTCTAGCAGTACTAAAACAGGTCTGGGTTTGATATATATATATATATATATATATATATATATATATATATATATATATATATATATATATATATATATATATATATATATATATATATCAGGGCTTGTATAAATTTATAATAAATTATAAATTATCTTGTATAAATTTTTAAATGTAAGTTATTTTTAATTTTTTATCAAATTTTAATTCAAAACTTTTTTTGCTGTTTAGACGATGGTAAATGCGTAATATGTGACTCATATGTGCGACCATGTACTCTTGTACGCATATGTGATGAGTGTAATTATGGTTCCTACCAAGGTCGCTGTGTAATATGTGGTGGCCCTGGAGTATCAGATGCATACTATTGCAAAGAATGTACTATGCAAGAAAAAGATGTAAGTAATTCTTAAACATTAAAAGCAACTTTAAAGCAAAGGTAAAAAAACAATATGATATGTTTATCATTTTTTTTTTTTTCAGAGAGATGGGTGCCCAAAGATTGTAAATTTGGGAAGTTCAAAAACAGATTTATTTTATGAAAGAAAAAAGTATGGTTTCAAAAAACGTTAGCGAAGTTTACTTTTCTTATCAGTTTTTCTGAGCAATAAAGTTTTAAAGAAATTTTCAAATGAAATATTCAACCTGAAAAAAGAACTTATGAAAATAGACAATGAATTGTGTTAATTAGAATAAGAAGTTGTTACTTCATATGAATATTACTTTTATGAAAAATCATATCTCATGTTCTATAAGTTGTTATTTTTTAGTTTAAACCAGATTATTAATTTTAATTTTTTTAAATTTAAATTGGTTTTAGATTATTTTTTTTAAATTTAATTTTAAAGGTTACTTAATACCCTATCTTCAACATTTCAGTGTTTAAAGAAAGCATGTTTTGTTTATTTTGATCTGGGTATTAAGATGGTTCAAAAAGACCTGTCACAAGCCGCTAGTAGAACATTCAACAAAGAAGTTTACACAGCTTTCAAACCTTAGGAGTTTTGTGTCTGATGGCTGCCTTTATAGTTGTGTTTTATTCAAGCAGATTTTAACATTCTGTGGTTTAATTAAAATCAATTTAAAACATGGAAATGATAAAAATATAAAATATGTTTAATTGTCTCTACAAATTAATTTTAATTTATTTTCCATAAGTATCAAAATATTTTAAGTTTTTTAATATTATTGTTATTATAGTTAAAAGTATGAAAATATATAGTAATGATATCAAGGAGTATATAAATCATGAACGTTGATACAAGCCAAGAAAATGAACTTATTTTTGCAGGCTTCAATCAAGACCAAGGTTAAAATTTTTAATGTTTTTTTAAATTCAAGTATTTGTTATACCTTATTTACCATCAACTATAATTCTTATATATATATATATATATATATATATATATATATATATATATATATATATATATATATATATATATATATATATATATATATATATATATATATATTTAAACAATTTAAAATGTATTCTACAAAAAGAGTGCTCAATGTTCTTAAAAGAAAGATTTTTACTTATTACTGAAAAAAATTTATTGCATTTATTTTGACACTTCAATCTAATAAAACAAAAAAAAATTACATCAATAATAGTTTTACATTTTATTTCAGAAAAAAAAACAATAATATCAAGAAAGCTCGCAGTCATTGAAATAGCAGTGGTATCTGAAAATAGAGAAAAAATTATTTTTTATGGTATTAAACATTAAAATTGCAAACTTTTGAACATTATAAAGTTAAAAATAAGTCTAATATAACAATATTTACCCTTAGTATTTCGTTGCAAAACCTTTGTTTGAGATAACGGCTTCACAACGCCGATGCATTGAGTCAACTAGGCATTGACATTTTTCTGCTGGTATTGCGTACCATCCTTGTTGAGTAGCTTCCCATAACTGCTGAGCATTAGTTGGATTAGCAGTAGAAACTGCTTTTTTAACGTCTCCCCATAAGTTTTCAATGGGGTTTAGGTCAGGTGACTGAGCAGGCCACTCCATAACCTCAACCCCATTGACCTGAAACCACTCTTTTGCCTTGTGACTAGTGTGTTTTGGGTCGTTGTCTTGTTGAAAGACCCATTTTAACGGCATATCTTCATTAGCATAAGGCAGCATGACATTATTGAGGATATCGACATATATATGTTGGTCCATAATACCATTAATCTTATAAATAGGTCCGACACCATTATATGAGAAACAGCCCCATACCATGACTTTGGCTCCACCATATTTTACAGACTTAATGGTATATTTTTGCTGGAATTCTGTATTAGATGGACGTCTTACATATTGTCTTGAACCTGTACCTCCATAAAGAACTATTTTTGATTCATCAGTCCATAATACGTTGCGCCACTTTTCGATGGGCCAATTCAGATGTTGGTTTGCGAACTGCAAACGTTTAGCGGTATGTTTTTTTGTCAACAAAGGGACCTTTCGTGGACTGTGTGCATACAAACTTTTCTCTCGTAAGCGTCTACGAACTGTTGTTTCACTCACCTGTAGGTCAAGATCATCTTTGACTTGCTTGGCCGATGAAAATAGTTTGCTTTTAACAAATCTAACAATTCTTCGGTCTTCTTGCGCAGTAGTCTTACGTTTCCCCCCTCGTTTTTCAACTTTTGCTATATAATTTATGGCATTTGAAATCATCTTTGCTGAACATCCGCGAATATTTTGTATATATGAGTAAGATTTACCCTCTCTATAGTGTTTCAAAATAATGTTGCGTTCTGCTGGTGTACAATGATGTCCTCGGCCCACTTTGAAAGGTTTAGAAAACAATTTTACCATTACGCATACTCAAATAAATAAAGAATATGTTATAATTGAAGTAGTACTTACTTTTTCAACGAAAAATACTAAAATCTCTTCAAGTTTTGTTAACTAACTTTAAAATTAATATAACCACTGCTATTTTAATGCATTTTGTCAATTACAATATTTTTATTAAAAATAAAGATATTCTACAATGTAATGAATTCTCATTTGCTCAATTTATTTATCTCATTCTAGTACATACACACATAAAAAATTAGCCCTTCTGTATTAACAGAAGGAGAGTAATATTGAAAAAACGAATAATTTTTTGGTACTGCTATTTTCATGCTCACAGCTGTATATATATATATATATATATATATATATATATATATATATATATATATATATATATATATATATATATATATATATATATATATTTTATATATAATTTATATATTTTTTATAATAATATATATATATTTTTTATATATAATATATCTTTTATAATAATATATATTTAAAAGATATATATATATATATAATATATATATATTTTATAATAATGTTATATTTTTTGTTGTAAACTTTAAAGCTGGAATAAAAAATGAAGATTGTACTGCACCAAAAACAGAAGAACAGTTTAAAATAATCAATTACATCAATTTACACTAAACACTGCATCAATTTACGCTAAATAAGTATGCAACATTGGCATGGAATTAGCAATAGGGTCAATAAATAGTGTTCCTCAAAAAAAAAAAATTTTTGTTTTTTTGTTTTTATATAAACATTATTGGAATTTAAAAAACATTTGTGGCGTTCAAAATAATTTATACCTAAAATCATTTATTTACTTACAAGTTAACTTTACAATAAAGATTTACATAGGATAAAATTTTTAACACCAGTGTGAATCAGGTTAATGTTCTATTCAAATTTAAGTTCTACAAAAATAAAAAATGTTATTTGTAGAATTTTTTTATTTTAGTATTTCTAACAAAATAAAATAAAAAATTGTTTTCAAGTCTATGTTTTTAAAAGTTTTTAAATTAGTTTTTTGCTTTTTTTTTTTTTTTTTTTTGATTAGGGGTATATTTAGGTTTAATCTGATTGATTACGCTTTTACATTACACAAAGGTCATTAGGCTTTTACATTACACAAAGATATTTATCTGCAGTAGCAGATAAATATCTGTTGGCAAAGTCTGTTCATGATGTTTAACAAGGCTCCATCACACACTGAAAGTTTTGCTAAATTATTATTGATTATTTTCAAAAAAGTTCAGATATATGCCAGCTAGAATAGATTATACTTGTTAAAATTCATAAATACTTTATAAACTTTTGCTTTATGCAATTTGTGTTACAATAAAATCAAAACAAGTAAAAGAATCAGTTAACATCTTTGATTTGGAAAACCATTTACTTCAATATGCAAAGAAAACCTTATTTGCCAAGTTCTAAGTAACACAGAATCTATTGCTTATAATATGATCAAAACAAATTTTTCAACACATCAAGATGGATGGAGATTTTCACGACAAGATGGAGAGAAAAACACTTATAGTGTTTTTACAAAAAGTGTTAAATCTAAAAAGACAAGAGTATGTTATTGTCTATTTTAAATTTTTTTTTTAGAAAATATTTCAAGCTACTTTAGCACTTTCTTTAAAACTGACAGAATTTGATGTATGCAGAAAAGCACTCAGTCATTATTTACGATGACTTTGTTGGATTGGTTAAACACATTGTTGAACAATGACTTATAAGCTTTTTAATAAATTGATATTGTTAGATCATTTAATTCTTATACATCCTTGTAAAAGTTATATAAAGTTTCATTATAAATGTTTTATTTTCATTATAAAAATGTATTTTTTCAAAAACAAAAAAAAAATTGTAAAATGTTACATGTAGGCTTCGTATTCAATAAGGTCAATAAATTGACCTTTCTAAAGGTATCTATTAATATATACTGAATAGCTATTGAGAGTTAATTAAACTTACTAAGTTCATTAAGGAAATACTTTCAACAAGTTATAAAAAAACTTTCAACAAGTTATAAATGCTGTGTAGTTGTCTCTTTGCTAGATTATCCTGATAAAACAAAACTTCTTGGTATTTTGCCACTCATGGAGTTACAATTGATTCTTTGAATTACCAGTAGGATATTTAACCATTTAAAAACCATTCTTAGTCAAAGCAACTCTTAGCAACTTTTGTTCTTTAGAAGCTGACTGGTCTTCAATGGAAACCAAATTAGACATCTTTTAAACAATGTTTATCTTTCAGACAAATTGCTTGAAAATGCCGAAATCGGATATGAAAATAGAAAGCTTATTCCTGCCTTAAAAACTATGAATTTGAAATTAGAATAACTTAGTCTAGTTTTTTTTAATAATTACAGTATTTATTTATTTTTTATTTATTTTTATAAAAATTATTTTATTTATATTTATAAAAATAAATATTTACTAAAATATTTTTAAAATAAAACAGCAAGACATTTCAGTTTTTTTTTTTTTTTTTTTTTTTTTGGGGGGGGGGGGTGTTTTAACTTTATTTAAAAATCAAAAAGCTAATAAAAAAGTGTTCCGGAAAACATTTCTGTCCTATTGGTAATTTCATGTCTCTGCAATGCTGCATAGTTTGCTTAAATGTGTGTCATAGAACTAAAACACTAAAATAAATGTGTGTCATAGAATAAAAACACTAAAATAAATGTGTGTCATAGAACTAAAACACTAAAATAAATGTGTGTCATAGAACTAAAACACTAAAATAAAATAAAAAATTTCCGTTATTTATATAATCATAATAAAATTTGGAGTTACTAGATACACTTTTAAAAATAAACAAAGTTCTATTGTAGTAACTAAAACACTAAAATAAATCTTTGTCATATAACTAAAACACTAAAACAAATGTGTTTCATTGAACTAAAACACTAAAACAAATGTGTGTCATAGAACTAAAATAAAATAAAAATTTTTTATTACATTATTTAAATATTTAATATAAGATTCAGAGTTACTAGATTAAATTTAAAAAATAAACAAAGTTCTGAATATAAATTCTATTGTAGTATACTGGCTCCAAAAGGTTTGTGTTTTAAAACCTTTAAATTTTTGTATTGAAAAAATATTAGATTAATAATTTAATAAAAGCAACAAAGTTTAGTAATAAAAATATAATTCGTTGTATATTTTAAGGTTGTTTTGCTTGTGGTATGCAAAACGGTTTTCGTGTTTTCAATAGCGATCCTGTAAAAGAAAAAGAACGACAAGGTTATTTTAATTAAGTTGATAGGTAATTAACTGTTTAAAATTTTAGTTAAATATAGTTTTGTATTATTTAGTTTTTGAAAATGGTGGTATTGCATACGTTGAAATGTTATTTCGGTCTAATTATCTAGCTCTTGTTGGAGGGGGTCAAAACCCTGAGTTTCCTCCTAATGAAGGTATGGAAAGTAATAAAATTAATATGATTTAATTTGATTAAACTTTTTTTAAAGAAATAAGGTTAGCAATTTTCAGGGCAACACTTTGCCTTTTTTACTGTGTTTATTTATAATACCGTGACTGCTGTTTAAACTTACATATGACTGTTATTATTTTGAATTGAAATAATAACAGTTGTATTACATATGACTGTTATTATTTTTGCAGTTGTAAACTTTTTCATAAAATTTTTGCAATATGATAAATTTAAGTTAATTCACCCCATAAAAACAGTGTTCAAGATTTTTTTATAAACTGAAAATTTGAAGACCAGAAGTATTTCTAGTTTGTGATTATTTTATTTGTGTCTGGACAAGTTAAAATCTTTTTTCGGTTATTGCCTTTTTTTTAAAAAAAAGTTACACTAATTGATATAAATTGCTTTCTAAATTAAAACCTCATTTAAACAGCGGTGCAAGTTAAAAATAAATTATAAAATGAAGATTTTGCCTCTATAACACTCAGTTTGATCAATCTAAACATGATTGAAACACAGCTATCTTCCTAGAGATTCAGACAAAAGCAAACAGCATAATTATTAAAGGAAAAAGTGTGCTCAACTTGTTCAAATTTTAATCAGTACTTTACTTTAAATTCACATAAAGTTAGTTCTGGACATCAAGGCTGCATGATTAGGATTTCAAAAACCAATTTGGAAATCAGTAGAAAAGGTTTTAATTTATTATGCGAGAAAGTATTAATGATCTTCTGACTTCAACTCAGTTAAAAACTTTTTTTTAAAAAAATCATAAAATTTATAAGAAAATATAGTTTTCAAATTATTTCAATACATTTTTAGGTTTCTAATTTTTTGCTTTTAACTAACTTTTTAACTTCAGTGTTTTTTTGTTTTTGCTTGTTATTATTTGTTTATTTACCATGGAAAACAGTATTTTCTATTGACAAGCCTATACTTTATTTTTCATGAATAATAAATATTTATTTTTTAATAAATTTTTTAGTAAAAATATGGGATGATCTAAAAAAAATATAGTTATATCACTTGATTTCTCTAGTGATGTTAAAGCTGTTAAACTCAGAAGAGACAGGTATCTATTGATAAAAAAAAATTTTATTATGTTATAATAGACTTTGATTATACTTTACTTGAATTTCTTTTAAAGAATTGTTGTTGTACTTGACACCATGATTAAAGTATACACATTTACTCAAAATCCTCAGCAACTTAATGTGTTTGAAACGTGCCCAAATCCAAAAGGTAGATTTCATTTTCTAAATTATTGTTTTTTAAAGTTTCAGAACTGTTGTTTCCTGTATTTATCTCTTTTTTATTGTTCAAGGGCTGTGTGTGTTGTGTCCAAGTAGCACAAATTCCTTGCTTGTTTTTCCTGGAAGGAAACCAGGTCATGTGAATATAGCCGATCTTGCTAATACTGAAAAACCTATAAATGAAATAGAGGCTCATGAAGCCACACTCAGTTGTATTTCACTTAATTTACAAGGAACCAGGCTTGCTACTGCCTCAGAAAAAGTAATTATTTTATTTTACTTTTATACCATATCTAATAAAATCCTTTGTCCTATTAGATTCAGTGACATCATGCAAAAAATATATTTATTACATTTACTAGTAGTTTAAGTCTAACCAAAAAATTTACTAAATCATTTATGATAGAAAAGCATACATTTAAGATAATGATGGCTTCATTATGCTGTGCATAGCAATGTTATGCATGCCATACATGCCCAATTTAGGTACTGAAGTCCTGCAGATGGCTATTAAGGGTAAGTTTGAAAAGTATTTATGCGTATGTGTGTGATATAATGTGTTAAAGGTTATAATGTTGTATTTCGTATTTATATACAATTAGTATCCATGCTGATTTTGATACTGGTATACAGGTTTGGGCACCCAAGTTTTTGCTGAAATTAATATAGTTTTTGGCATAAATTCTTTGCATTCCAAAAGATGAATAGTGTAATTTAATATAGGATAAACCTATAGTTAATATATTCCCTTGTCAACAAGTTAGCGTAAATTGTGATTTTTTATTGAATGCAGTGCCCATGTTTAAAAAAAGTTTCTCATAACATCCACATAAAATTCATGTACCTGCAACTGTGTATTTTTCTGCCATACATTAATTAATGGCAAAATCAATGCAATTTGTTTATGCTTTAAAATTTTTTGCACTTTTGTTATCTTTTTATTTTGAATTGGATTCATATTTAGTATTTTTCTAGGCCTTCATATTTATAGATTTTTATCTAGGTATTTTTCTATTTTTATGAAAGGTTCTAAACTTTTTTGCTTTTTTGTAAAGGTTATCACCAACTTGACCATATGATAGTGGGTTTGTTCTGGCTAAAAAAAGTTGCCTCCAATTTGAATTCAATTTTTTTTTTACTCTAGATTGCATATAAGAAAATGGCTCCCCTAAACATAATTACATTTTTTTTGTAAATAAAACCTGGGTTTCAAAAGAGTTAGAAATTTATAAATATTTTATTAGTTTTACTAAAATAAAAATTAAACTATTTTTTATTAAAAACACTGTGAGAAAAATAATTATTGCTATAAAATGTCATTAAGTATCTGTCATTTTTTTTTTTTAAATATAAAATTATAAGTGATTTTTAGTTATAACCTTTATTATTCTAAAATCTTATTATTCTAAAATCTCTATAAAGTTTTTTTAAGACCCAGGTTGATTTACTTTTAAAAAAAAAGTTAATAAAACCAACTTTTGGTTACTTTCAAACAAAAGTTCACCTTTTAAAGTATCATTATTCTTCATAAATTTAATGCCAGTTAAACAAATTACTTTGCAATTAAAAAAACTTTTTTTTTTTTAATAAAACACTATTAAAAGGTCTGTAACTTAGAATTAAAAAGAAACTTTAAAGCACTATTAAAAGGTCTGTAACTTTGAATTGAAAAGAAGAATAGATGTTAAACAGTTGTTGTATATATAATTTTTTTAATTTTATACTAACAATACAAATTATGAAAGTTTATTTTTAAGTTTATATAGAGTTAATTTAATTTAGTTTTGTGGATTGTGGAGTTAATTTAATTTACTTTTGTGGATATGTGAATTGAAGCAAAATTAAAGCATAGTCTCACAAAAATGGACTCAACTTTGAAAGCATTTTAATTAAAAAATGATACAAAAAAGTAAACTTTTTAAAACAAGAATAATAACACAAATAAACAAAGCTTAGTATTGTTTTTTCAAACAAAAAAAAATAAACAAATTTTTCCTGAAAGATTATTATTAAAAATGGTATCAAAAGAACAATTCATCCATGAAAGAATTAAGTGCATTTACTTAGAAACACTAGATCATCATTTAGAACATTTCTAAACTAGCTGAAGTCAGTGTGTCAACTGTTTCTAGGGTTCTCAAACATTGAAAAGAATCTTTATCAATTAATTGCATGTCAATCTGGATAAAGAAGGAGTTTGAGAATAAAAAATTGGCCTCAGAAATTTGTTGTTCATTCTTGCAGAATATCTGACTATGATAGAGCAAATAATGGCAATACATCTCATTCATTTGTGCAAAAAACTATAATTTTAATGGTATTCACTCTTATCGTAAGATAAAATATCAAACCATACCAAAACTTGCATTTTTTGGATGAAACTTACATTAAATCTGACTTTAGACAAATACCTGGTAACAGATTTTATGCTGGCATTAAGCGTGGAGCTGTCAGTGACAAATATAAATATACACAGCCTAATAAGTGCAAGTAATGAGAATGTGGCAAAAAAATGCAAGTCATTTTTTTTTTAAACATCTCCACTTCCAATGAGATTGCAAGTGACCACTATTAGAGTTGAAGTTGCTTGAAGTGAAAAGATAAAGTTTATAAAGCAAGATAATTATTAATAGATAACTTAAAAGGTTGCAAATTATATGAATCAGAAAAACGAGATGAAAAGAGCAAATTTCACAGAACTGATGTTAGAGAAGGAAAAAAAAAAAAGAGTTTTTGGAGTACTTAGGTACAGTCACAGTAAAAGGATGAGACCTAAATGAAAGAGAAGCAACATTACGACAACGTGGCAATGATTAAGACTGCCTGCAAGAGCTGGTCCAACTATGTTTATAATTCGTTTTTGCACCTTGTCTAAAAGAGAAATGGTATCATTTAAAGATCTGCTCTTGAAATGGCAACTGTATACCATGCAAGGACGAATTTGAGATTCTGACACTTATTTTAACCCTATGGATCAATATGTTTAATCTATATCTCTTATTAGTAAATCTAACTTAACACCAGTGATATGTGAAGAGGATTTTGGGTGTGAATAAAATCCTCTTGATGTATTGCCGCCATTTGTATTCCCAAACCCTGATAAAATATATATATATACTGAAAGCTCGATCAACCTGTCAGCTATATCAGGTAGGATGTGATAAGTGGATTCAAGAGATGAGGTTAATAAAAAGTTTTTAGCAATCAATTCAGCTTTGTCTTTAGATGAGGTAACAAAATCTGAACCGTGCAAGAGAGGTGGAATAACAGAGTTTTCTTATTATAGACACTGTTAAAGATTCTCCCGAAGTCCTGGGAGTCTAATTTTTGAAATAAAATATGAGATTTCGTGACCTGAGAATGAAAAATAAGGCTTTGGTGTTAGACTAAACCTATTTACAATGGTTTCTAGCAATAGTAAACAGACGTTTGATTTCTGGAGAATTGTTTTGGTGATAGATATGGAAGAAATACAATTGAAAATTTCATCTGCACAATAAGTTAAAAACTGTGGAGAAGAATTGATTTGAAATTATCAAGAGGGAATAAAAGATTCCATGCAGGCCTGAAAACATGAAGTTAAATAAGAAGCACAATTGTCAGCAGGAAAACAAAAGATTTCTACCCAAGGGCCATCAAATCTTCAATCTAGGAAAGAATCCCAGTCAGCTTTAAGGTAGTTGTAAGAGGTACAATGATAGGGGATTCTTATGATGAAAAAAAACGAGTGGATATTTTAGAGAGATCAAACCGTGATCAGAAGCACCTAAGGGTGAATGTGGAGAAACTGAACACTGACTAGGATCAGAAACAAGACATAAGTTAAGTAGAGAAGGTAAAAGATTTGGATTGTCTGGAAAACCAATTGTAAAGTTGACTATTTGTGTTAAAGATTAAGTATGGCAAAAGTTATTGGCCTTAACATCTGCATAGCCACTGACATAAGGGCCAAGCCATTCAGTGTGATAAGCATTTAAGTCATTAACAATAATGATATTGGCTGAAGGATAAGGGCTAAGTCAAATTGATCAGAAGTAACATCAAAGAGAGTGCAGTCTTGAAGCAAAGGAAAGTAATTTATAATCTCAAAGTTAATGAATGCTGAAGTCTACAAGTAGGAATGCCTGAAAAGTGTTTTCTACCTTATAAAATCTCATAATGTTCCTTTAAGGTTTTGGCCTGATTTAGCAAGCTGTCACTATGCTATAGAAACAAATAATTGACACTGAAAAAAATGGCGCTCAAAATATATTTATTGATCGCTACCCAAGTTTTCCAAATTTAAATAAGACACAAGTTAAGAGCTGCTCAAAAAATGGAGAAAAGTTTGTGAAAAAGTTTTTTTGTGTATTCTCTATAGCAAAATTGTAAAAATGCAAAGCTTGATAATGAGTGTTAAGATAAAAATTTATAGAGGAAAAGAGATTTAATAATTTTAAAATACTTTATACAATTTATCCTTTTATGTACATAAATATTTATTTTATACATACATAATTTGTTTGTTCTTAAAGTTTAATTAATTCTCTACATAATCAAGAACAAATTATATTGTGTAATTATCAAAGTTATCATTAGACAAAGTTAAAAATACTTAAGAAGTCCTTGATAAAAAAAAAAAAAACTTTAAATTTAGTTTTAAAATAAAGCAGCATTAACACTGTAAAATAAAGCAGCATTAACACTGTAAAATTTGTTCAAATGTATTAGCATTAAGCTAAATAGTTTTTAAAAGAAAAAACTTTTTATACATTAAATGAGTTTTTTTTTTTTTTTGTTTATTGTTTTAGATATTATTTATAAAAACAATAGTTTTAATCACTTTGCATTTCTTGTTAAATAATGCGTTTTAAAAACTTATTTTATTAAAATATTAATTTGTTTAGCTCTCTATTAATATATAGTTTGTTATGTTTTCAAAGAGATTTAATATTGGAATTTTAACTAGTTTTTAATCTTATGTCATCCAAATTTAATCCAAAAAAATATGTGATCACAGCAAAAAGATTTTTGTTAAAAGAGTTAATATTATAATTTATAAAACAATAAGTTTTAAATTTTTTAATTTTGTCAAAAATTATGACAATTACAAAAAATTAGTAACAAACAATTAAATTACAAAAAATTAATTAAAAAATTAATTAAGTAACAAATAATCTATTAAATAATTAACTAAACAACAGAAAGTTAATTATCAAAGTGTGCAATTGTGTTTTTAAACTATAAAATTATTGTTATATTTTTTTTATTAAGGGTACTTTGATCCGTGTTTTTGATACAGCAACTAATGAACAGTTGCATGAATTGAGAAGAGGAGCTGGAAATGCTACTATTTATTGGTATGTCTGTTTCGAATTTAATGTTTTAGAACATTATGTATGTATACACTAATTTAGAAATAGTTATAGAATAGGTTATAGAATAGGCACCAACAGTTTTCATATTTTTTTTAGAAAATCAATAACTTTAAGCGGGAGTGCCTTAATTAGACCTTAAAACTATAATGCGCAAAATTTTAAAGTTGTTAGTCTTCCCAATTCTATCTTTTAGTTTATTTTTTTTTACATATAATTAATAATGAAGCATAAACTGGAGTGAGTTATAATTATATTAAATGAGTGTCCGTTAAAATGGTGTAAAACAATTTCCTGCATATTTTCATATATAATGAAGCATAAATTATTTAGTTTTGAAAAAAATATAAAACATCAATAAAAAAAACTTAGGTTTTAAATGTTGCAAGTTATTTGTGTTTAAAAAATTTCATATATTTTTGTATTAAATTATCTTTTTAGCTTGTACTCAATAAACCTCAACTTAATGCAAAAAAAAAAAATGAACTGTTGGAATGTTTTTGTTTTGTTTACGTTTACTTATTTTTAATGATGCAATTCTTTGTTATTCTACAAAAATGTCTTTAAAGTCCTTTATTTTTGTTGATTTTTCAAACTTAATTTTTAAATAAGATAGCTACTAGTCGACTTTAGATTTTTTTATTTTTAAGTTAACTCTTATTTTCTTACTACATCTTTTCTTACTCCTTAATCCAGCTTGAAGCAACTCCTTACTCAAGCTTGATGCAACTTTATACTAAAAATTGTTGGTATCTATTCAGAATTGTGATTACTTTAATTCTGAAGTTTTCTTGTAGACAATGCATGTAAAGTAAAAATAATTTTTCCAGTTTAAATTTCAGAAAATTTCTGCATCTTTATCTGTATTTTTTGTTTAAATATAATTTGTGTAAAACTAAATAGTTTTTGTATATTTAATAATTTGAAATGAAGTAAAAATTCTGAAAAAGGTTTTTAAGTATTGTCGCAGTGCACCAGTCAACAAACATGTTTAGCTTCTTTTGATAAAAATTATATTTTTACCTCACAAAATCTATTTTTGTTTATCTAATTTGATTGCTAAGAATTGTCAAATTTTTATGATAACAAACATATAACAGGAAGTAGTTATTAAATAATCATCAAAATTATATAACCATATTAAAAATACTGAATGTTTTTGATTGGTCGAGTAGTTTAAAGACCATAACAATTGAACTAAATGTGTTTTCTTGACGGAATTATAAGATATACTGCTATTTTATGATTATTAAAAAATCTTTTTAATTCAGTGCCCTTAGATTTTGTAAAATCTAAGGGCTCTGAAGTTATTTAATATATATATAAATGATCGTTTCTAAATTTAACAGAAAGAAGAAATTAAAGTCAAATGCTAAATTCTGATTGAAATGTTGATTGGCACCCTTAAATAATGAAATGCAATTAATTTTAATTTATATACATTTTTTATATTTTCATTAGCATAAATTTCAGCAGTGACTCTTCACTCCTATGTGTTTCGAGCGATCATGGAACAGTTCATATATTTGCTGTAGAAGATCCAAGAAAAAACAAAACTTCAAGGTTTATTGATTTATCAAGTTTCATTGATTTATAATATAAAGTATAATTTAAAAGCATGCTCTGAAAAACAGTTTAATATTTCTTAGGCTAACTGGTAATAAGGTTTCCCGAACTCTATGGTAATTTTCAGAGAGTCTGAATTCATCAACAACTGAAAATATCAGAGTACTAACAGTCCCATGTTGCACATAAAAAGTGTCCCTTTGACCAGCATCATCTTGACCACATAAGAAGCCCTTGCATCTTGTTTTCTGTTGATACTTGCTTTTTTCAAAATTCACAAGAACAACTTGCTTTTTGTGAGACTAATTTAAGTTAGGATTTTCATTTTTGTATTTTAGAGTTAACATTATAATTATTGGCCTGGGATCATTCATACAGCTATTGGAGTCTTGCAATTCCAGGAATAACAGTTATTTATTTTTTATTTATGTGGTAAACTAACACATAAGTATCAATTTATCAAATAGATGAAGTGATACCTATGTATCAATTCACCTATTTGTCATGAAGTCAGGTTTTTATTTTTTATCTGCTCCGTTTCACTCAATCTTTTTTATCTTTGTTGTCCCTTTCTCCAAGTTTTATAACATCGGTAAGGAAGTTTTTTATAATGTGATCTAAGGTTTTTGTAATGTGATCTAAGGTTTAAAGTTATTTAAAGTTACTTAAGTTTAATTGTTTTGTAGCGGTTATAATTTTTTTTCTTTATGGTTTAATAGGGTTTTTTTTTTCAAAATTATCAAACAATTGTCCGTCATTCTTAAAAAAATTGTTGACTTTCAGCTTTCTTAATTCCATAAAGGTTCTGTATTAATGTGACTTTCAACTTTCTTGATTCTATAAAGCTTCTGTTTCAATGTGAATTGCAACTTAATTGATTCCAAAATTGTTTTATATTAATGTGACTTGATTTCTTTTTATATATTCTTTTCAAATAATTTAGTTATTGTGAAATGAATAGTAATTTAGTATATTGAATATATATTGAATATATAGGAATAATTCCTTAGAATTAAATTTCAAATGTTTATGAAAAAAATATGTTGAATGTGAAACACAAAATCAATGCATGCAGTTCATTTGTCTTTTGTTAAGAAAAGCAACTCTTTGTTCCCTAACATCCCTAATATGACATATTATACTGTTTATCAAATGTTTAACAACATCTTTGTCATCAATTTCAAAAATTCAAATACAAATTCTCATGATTGAAAATTGTTCTGCTAAAAATTTTCTTTTTTTTAATCTAATTTTTAAGTCCTAATTTCCTGGGAAATCATTAGTTGCAAAATGATTTTTGATTTTAACAGATTAGAGTCTTAACCTAACATATTTTATTTCCTGGTAAATTTAAACTCAAAAGTTTCTTATTTCTTGGCAGAATTAGTCTCATAAGTCTTAAATTCATGGGAACTATTTATAACAACAATGGCAATATATTTTAATGATCCAATGGCAAACTTTTATGCAAGATTGATTTGTAATTGTTTGTTTAGTTCACTTTTTATTCTTAATGAAAGTTAATCTTAAAATAAACATTAAATTTATTTTAAAGCGACATTTTTTTTATTATTACTTTATCATATAAAGAGGAACTTCATCTAAATTCAACTTTTTTACTTTTTATTTGTAGGCTGATATTTTTTTTGTCTGCATAATATACTTTATGCTGCAGAGGCATTTAATATGTTTTTAGCTTCTTTTTTTTTTATCTTTCAATTTGTTTCTTTGTATTAAAACACTTTTTTTTTATGTTTTTTTTTCTGTTTTTCAACAAGGCTGCAAATAACCACTATTAGAGTTGGAAGTTACTCGAAGAGTAAAGATGAAGTTTATAGAGCAAGATAACAATGGCACAAAAGATGCGAGATCTAAATTAAAGTTCAACCGCCAGTGTGAGCCCAATGCTGTAGCAAAAATGAGATCCTTTTCAAGCTCAAATGCCCCCTCCAAGCAATTGAGAGTGTTGGCTTCTTATTATGACAAGAATAAATCGTAGTATCATTAGTCAATAATGCCATCTTAGATTTGAGAGTATCTGGAAGATCGTTAATGTAAATTAAAAAGACTATAGGGTCAAGGATAGAACCCCTGAAGTTACAGGATATGAAAAAGAATGCTGTCCATCGAGGACAACTTTTATACTACAATAGGTAAGGAAGGATTCAATAATCTTAAAGATGTTTCCAGATACATCGTAACAAGAAAGCTTATGGAGAAGACCAGCATGCCAAACTTTATCAAAAGCATTAGAAATGTCAAGAACCTCTTTGCATCTATCTAATGCACGATAAAACCTATCAGTTGCTATCGGTTATTAATGTTAGCAAATCAGCTGTAGAGCGAGAAGATCAAAATCCATATTGATGATCAGAAAGTAAGTTATTAGATTTAAGGTTAGATGTTAAGTGTTTGTTAATTAAAGATTCAAAAACCTTGCTTATGATGGGAAGAAGTCTTATGGGATGATAGTTAAATGAGTCAGTTCGCTCTCAAGAGTTTTTGAAAATAGAGATAACAAATGCCGCTGAAAAATAGAAATAAATGATGCAGGTTGGAAAACAAGTCTCTGATAAGCACTTGTTAAATAGTTTTGAAAGTATAGATGACAACTCCGGAGAACACTTCTGCAAGACTATAAGGGGCCATTAATAAATGATGTCAGTAAATATTGGGGGAAGGGGGTATTGAAAAATTTGACGAGTTGACAATGGGGGAGGGGGGGCTTTGAGACCAAAATGATGTCAATTAAAAATAAATTTAGTTTATATGAGCAAATTTTTAAGGTATTTACATCTACAATGTGATATAGAAATGGCATATTTGCTTTTTGGGGAATTCTATGTAAGTTTCCCAGAGACATTAAAATTAAAAATTTACCAACGTTTTATTATTTTTTACCATTTGACTGAAAATTTAGTTGTTTACAAATATCAACAATTTGTATATAAATTTAACAATCGTTATTCGCTTCATAGCGGATTATAAAATGTGCTTCAAAGCAAACACATAAAGTCATTTATCATTATTTCAAATACAAATACCATTATTATCAAAGATCACTTCAACAACCCATTGGAAAATGTTGAGTGATTTAGTTTATATTATAGATATAAAATAAAATTTTGATTAGTTTGTTTATTATTTGATGAGGTATCAACTGTTCTATAATACAATTTGCTGAGATCTACCACTATATAAATATATAATTTAACCAAAAAAACGGACAAAAACTGACATATATAAGGGGGAGTTGGCCAAAAATTGATACATTGACAAAAATAGAAGGGGGGGGGTGTCAACAAAATTAATAAAAATCACTGACATCATTTATGGCTTCTAACAAATATGTTGCCCAGACAAGCTATAGAAGAGTCTAAGCAGGAAATTACTTTAGATACAGAGTCTGGAGTGATACGAATGTCAAGCAATGGATTATCCTGTTTCTTAGCTATATCAGATAAAATGCAACTAGTGGAATCAAGAGGTGATATTGATGAGAATTTCTTAGCAAATAATTCAGCTTTGTCTTTAGAGGTGACAAAATCTGAACCATATAAGTAGGTGGAATAACAGATTTACCCTTATTAAACATAATCTTAAAGATTCTCCAGAAGTCTGGAGAATAGCAGGCTTTGACGTTAGACAAAACCTTTTTACAATGGTTTTTAGCAATAATAAACAGATGTTTGTTTTCTATAGAATTGTTTTGGTGATAGATATGGAAGTAATGGCTTCAATTGGAAAATGCAGCAGCACAATGCAAGGAAAACCATGAAGAAGATTATGGCTTGACTTGGAATTGTCAAGAGAAAATAAAAAATTTCATGTCAGCCTGAAACCATGAAGTTAAGTAAGAAGCACAGTTGAAGAGCGGTTTTCCAAAACTTGTTAAGTCCATTTTTTCAAAAATTGAGTTTTTTCAACATTTGAATTTTTTATTGATAAACGTACAAATCTAATATAGTGCTAATATCAATAAAAAATTTGTTCATCGTCTTTATTTACAAATACAAAATTATAGATATTAGAAAAATCTTTGCCAGACAATAAGATTTTTGTGTTTTTCTCAAAACAATAAAAATGTGACTTAACTAGTTTTGGAAAACCGTTCAATTGTCAGCAGGAAGACAAAAGATTTCTACCCAAGCGCCATCACGAAGAAAATCTAGGAAAGAATCCCAGTCAGTTTTAAGGTAGTTGTAAGAGGTACGATGATAGGGGATTCTGATGATGAAAAAAAAATGAGTTGATAGTTTTAGAGAGATCAAACCTTGATCAGAAACACCTAAGGGTGAATGTGGATAAAATAAGCACTGACTTAGATCAGAAACAAGGCATAAGTCGAGTAGAGAAGATAAATGATTTGGATTGTCTCGAAAGCGAGTTGGAAAGTTGACTATTTGAGTTAATGATTAAGAAAGGCAAAAGTTATGAGCCTTAACACCTGCAATGTCACTGACACTAGAGCCTAGCCATTCAGTGTGATGAGCATTTAAGTCACCAACAACAACGAAATTGGCTGAAAGATAAAGACGAAGGGCTAAGTCAATTTGATCAGAAATAACATTATATAGAACAAAGAGATAGGCGATAGAGTGAAATGGTGCTAAACGAAAGCACATAAAATAATAGTCTAATTCTTACGAATGTAAATACCCAGGCCAAGCATGTGAATTTTAAATTCTTTACGAATTAAAGGAAGATAACCATCAACACTAAGATTACAAGAAGAGGTTTAAATTTTTAAAAGTTAATTTTGAGTTGGAAACAGAGTCGTTAGTCATTGGCCTTGCCTTAAGGCTGAAAAATTAAGGCCTTGGCCTTAAAAATTTTGGCATTGGCCTTGATTGTTCAAAAAAAAGTACATAAAGTTAAAGAGTTAAATGTTTTTATTCTTTATTTTTATGTATTTTTTTTTTTTTTTTTTTTGCTTTCATATATATCTACAAGTACATTTTCTTATTGACTTTATTGAATTCTGCGCATAACCTTGGTTTATTTGTACAACATGTAATTTTATTGTCACAGCAATTGTTACCTACAGATTTGTTAATAATAAGCCTTAGCGTAAGGTAAAAATTTTAGTTTTTGGTCTTGAAAATGTTTGCATAGGCCCTAAGTTTAAATTTTTTAAAGTTAATTTTGAGTTGAAAATACATTTCCAACGAAAGTTAAATTTTTAAAAGTTAATTTTGAGTTAGAAATATATTTTCAAAAAAAAGTTTAAGTTTTTAAAAGTTAAAAGTTAGGCTTGGATATAAGTTATTGTTTATAGATAACTATTTGCTTATAACTATGATGTTGAAGTTGAAAATGTTCTTAAAAAACAGGGCAAATTATGCAAATTATTTTTTTGTTTATTTTGTATAATTAAAGTTGATCAAAAATCATAGATTTAATTAGTTACTAATGTGTCTGCTTATTTTATAGTTTGTCATCTTCGTTACTTCCAAAATACTTCAGTTCGAAATGGAGTTTCTCTCGATTCCAGGTGCCAAACGGGGCTCAATGCATATGTGCTTTTGGTTCTGATAAAAACTCTGTTGTTGGTAAGCATAAATTTCAAATTAATGAAGCGTATCCATTGAATTGTATAGACAACTTAAATTGAGTTTTCTTAAAAGGATTTTTTATATCTAATAAAAGAATTATTTTTAGCCGTTTGCGCTGACGGAAGCTACTACAAATTTGTTTTTAACAACCGAGGAGAATGTTCGCGAGATGCTTACCATCAATTTCTACAAATGGCAGACAACGATTGATTCTTCGTTGTAACGATTTCTCGTAACTTTTTGAAGCTCTATACATAAAGGAACCAAAGGCTTGATTATGAAAATACATTTTAAGTGGTTCTAAGTCAAAGAGGATCTCATTTGTTATATGGCTTTGGATGACCAATGGTTATTAAATATGTTGCTTGAGATGACGTATTTTTTAACTGGATATTTTTATATGTTTAATGTTAATAAATGACTGCTATTAAAATAGATTTTGCTGATTAAAAACATTTTTTTTTATATTATGTTCTGTTTCATACTTAAAAGAATTATATATAGCTTAAAATGTTTTTAAAAAATTTAATATGTATAGTTTTGTAATTTTTTCATTTATGAGAAATTAATAAAGTATTTTATTGTTAAAAAGGTTTTGTTATAAATCGTTATTTACTTAAATTTAGTGAATTCCATCTAATTTACTTATATGAGCTCCATCTAGTAAACTTTTGTGAGCTCCATCTTATTTAGTTCTGTGAGCTTTATCTAATTTATTTTTATGAATTTCATTTAATTTACTATTGTGAGCTCGTAGAAGGTCATGAAGTTTACAAAAGTAAATAAAATTGAGCTTATAAAAGTGAATTAAATGAAGCTATATAGTTTGATTTTGTTAAAAATTGATGTTTTAAAAAAATTTTAATGCTTTTTCTAAAAAAATTTTAATATCTTAATTTTAGAAAAATATGTCAGCAAAGCTAGTCTTGAAAAGTCTCCACTTTTCGGTCGGTACTAATAATAAATTACTCGAGAAAAAAAAATCTGTAAAATTAAAAAAACTCAAAAGTAATAAAAAGAAAAAAAGCTTGAAAGGTAATTTTTTTATCACAAGTAAAATGAAGATGTGTTAAATATTGTTTTAAAGTTGTGATTTAAAAACAAAAAATAGCTCCTGAAGATATTCTACGAAAAAACCTTAATCAGTTATTAAGTGAGCGAGAGAGAAAATTGAAGAAATCAAATCAAATAAATTATGAAATCGTAAGCTTATTAATCTTTTATCTTTGCTCTTTAAAATATCTTAACTTAACTTTCATGTTATAAACGACCTTTATGCGTTTTGTATTTCAGATGTTATCTCATATGCATAGAGCCGGAAGAAAGACAACTATTAAAAGAAAAACAAGTGATTTCGATGAAAAAGATTTTGAATTTGAAGACGAAACAAATGATGCAACGGACGATACAGAAAACGATGAACTTAGCAATAACAAAAAACCAAAAAAAAAAGTTTTTACTCGTAAAAAGTGAATTGTATAAAATTCAAGTGAATTATATAAATTTAATGTATAAAATTCAGAATTACTTTACAATATATATATATATATATATATATATATATATATATATATATATATATATATATATATATATATATATATATATATATATATATATATTCATATATATTCATATATATATAATTAAAAATAATTTTCTGAAAAAAAATGCACGCGTTATTCACGTGTTTAACGGTAAACCAGTCTATTAGCTTGAATGATTAAAATCTACTATTTCTGAATACAAGCTTCTGGTTTTGTACCTTGGTAGGCATTGCATACATAAGCTAACATGTTTGAGCTTAATCCATCTTGAATGCTATCGTCATGTTGTCCATTCATTGTGAACCATGGAACATATTGATGAGGCGGGTTCAAGGCATTAGTTTTTGTTGCCATTTCGTGTTCTATCTCGTTGCCTTGATCGCTAAGAACACATTGTGAAATAGTATCGTAATCCATCTGACTCACACTGGCGCAGTACTTAGCATTGGTATCAGTTGCACCATAATATTCAAGGCATTGTATGAATGGAACATATTTTGCTTGGTCTGGATAGAAATGGATTGCACAAGATTCTATTAAATTACCTAAAGTACAAGTTTTAATTCTTACAGCTGATTTTGTAATCGCTTCACTTTAAAAAAAGTTGTTTTTAGTAATTTTAAAAAAGTTTTGTTTAATATAGTAATACATTTGATAAAGTTAATATAAAAAATTTAGTACTTACCAGTGCATTCCTCTTGTCCGTGTTGACAGTAGAAAATGTATTTACCGGCAGAATAAACCTCTTCTGCATTTCCGAAAGGAACAAAGTTGAGCTTTAGTATACCACTGGATGCTAACTTCTGGTATGTTGGATATATTTGATCTAAAATAGTTACTCTGCAATCAGGACAAAAAGATTCAAAGTACAAGGTTACTTCTACTGGATCTGCATCTTGTATCAAGGATGTAGTCTTATTTGCATAAAATAATTCATCATTTTTCTTATTTATGAACAAAGAATTACATCCATTAAGTATAACTAATCCTATAATCAAGTTAAGTACTGACATTTTTCTTTAAAAATCTAGTCTTTGATGTTGTTGTTTTCAAAGTTATGTATTTGCGTTTGTTTATATACTTTTTATATTGGCTATGCGTATGTGACGTTACATGATTATTTTTATGGTGTCAAAATTGTTTATTAAGATAACTTTATTTAACAAGAGAAAAATCAAAAAAGAAAGTATTATTTTTTTATCACAGCAAACTCAACTACGTACGAAAACAAATGACGCTTTTTGTTTGTTTGAAAGTTAAACTCTCATCAAATAGTTGAACATCAAAAAAAAAAAAATTTAATACATTTATAAAAACAAAGTTTTTTTTAATTATCAAATAAATAATGTCTTACAACTAAACATGAGACGGAAATAGTTGTTAATATGACAAAATATGTTGATGTTCATTAATATAATTTAGAGAAGAGAATAAAGTTGAACTATTTAGTCCTTTGTCGCGTTTTTTTTTTACACGAATTTTTTTTTGTTAGCAAATTTTGTTAGCATTGTCCCATTTTTCCATACTCTAAACGTGTTGGGCGACTAATGATGCATTAGTCGCCAAGATTTACATGCATAGACAATATGTTAACTATAATTTAACAAACTGAATTTTCATTTATCAAAAAACTTCAAATAACGTAACATTTCTATTTTTCACACTAATTGTCATTAAAAATTTTCCCCCAAAAAATTAGAAAAACATAAAAATGAATAAAACGTAACTTATACGTAGTCAATAAATTTTTTTACGGCTTCATATAATTTAAAATCAATTTCATACAATAAAAAATCAAAACTAATAGCAACACGGGTGTCCACAAACTCATAATCATGATTTTTTTATTTAACAGTATGAAAGGCATTTGAAATTTATTAGGAGAAATTGAGCACTGTTAAGAATGTCAAGATATTTAACTAGATGCATTGAAAATCCCACGCGATTTTGTCAGATTATCAAGTTTATCAAGCTTATCTAAATTAGTTATGCTTAAACATTCCAAGAGAAAAATGCGCTCCGGTACTTCTCAACTGCAGCAGCGCTAATAAATACAGTACTAATATTAAATAGTAAATACAGTACTAATTTAATATTAGTACGAAATTTAGCAAGAGTACCAAAATGAGGTCTGCGCTTCTTATGAAAGTGATAATTTTTATATTTAGTTGCTATGGATACCTAATTTTGCATAGCAACAACCTATTTCTGGTAGTTAGAGAATTTTTATTTGTGCTGCATACACTGTTTTTAGCATGTATGTTAATATGAGGTCTTTGCTTCTCATAAAAGTGATTTTTATATTTGGTTACTATGGTCACTTAATTTTGCAGAGCGAAATAAGATGGTATATCACCAGTGGTGGAACTACTGGACGCAGGACCCTGCGTTGCGGGGGGGCCTACCAGCTATAGGGGGCCCTCATATAAAAAAAGTTATACTCTCAATAATATTTATACTATAAAACTCTTTTCCGCAAAAAAAACATTCTTTTGCGGGGGGGGGGGGGGGCCCAAATTTTGAAGTTCCGCCACTGTATATCACCTATGGTTTACTACTACGGTTACTTAGTTTTGCATAGCAAAACTTAGTTTGACAAAAGTAAGTAACTATAGAAATATATTTAACTAAAATTTATATAATAATAAAATTATACTTAATTTAGAATAAAACAAAACAAACAGAACTCTTAACTTATATATCAGGACAATATAAAAGAAAACATAACAACATAAAAGAAAACATATACAATATAAAAAAACAACATTAAAACTCAATAAAAAAGAAAAGAAAAGGATATTTATTTTTATTTCTTATTGCTGTTTTTTTAAACTGGACACCAATGGATCAGAAGTGCACAACAGTTGTTTTATTACTTGTTTCATTTTGATTGACTTATTTTTTCATTTTACACTATATTTTGATTGACTTATTTTACTTGCATTACACTATATTTTTCTTGCATGGTCTTGGTGATAACTTAAAATTGTTATTATTATCTTGAGTTTTCTCTGATTTAAGACCAATAGACAATATTTTTTCTATTATAAGGTATCCATGCATTATAATGCAGACAATGAGGTATGTAGTATCAGGAGTAACATTTAACAAAATATCTGGCAGTTTCAAAACTATAATCCTAAAATTTCTGATTCAAAACCACTGGAAATGCAACAAATTATAACATTCAATCTTTCAATTAGCACTTTATCAATTCCTGTAATTTCACTAAATATGTCTTCATTTAAAAAAACTATCCTGGCTGTATTACCGTCTTTTGCGTTCTCACGACCATCTGCTCTTGGTTGATCTACTATCAATCCAAGAACCTTTATCTAATAATCTTTTCTGAATTAAACTCTTTTGCTCCATTACTGAATTCTTGACTCCAAAAGATCTTGCTTGCCAAAATTTAATTTTTTTATAGGCAATATGCAATAAGCAGAGACCGTACCGAAAAATATGGGAGGATTGCTTTTTTTAATAACAATTTCAATTTTATCTATTTCTGATGGGCTACATACACCAAAACATGATTGACTAGAGTCAATTGCGTTGTGCACCTTTATGACAGTGTGCACCTTTTCATAAATCATAGTGATTTTGATATGGTTTGTAATAGATATTTTTTACCCTTCGAAAACAACAATGGATGGGTTAAAATTTGCCGTTTTATTTTTAAATTTACTTTCTTTATCAGCCAATACAGATTTAGTTTCTTTTTTAAACACAAAATTCAGAGTTTTACAATAAATGTCTGACGGTGGCTTTTAGTTTCTCCGTAAAATAACTTTTTTTTCATCTGTAATAAGCTCTAAAGGAACAACATAAGTATCAAATTATATTATATTTATCATATATAAATAAATATTTATCAAATATAAATAAATTTATATTTGATAAATTACGAACACTGATAATTCTGATAATTTATGTTCATAAATCCTTTGAACCACCAAATTTGTAATATTGCGTTGCTTAATCTAACGGAAGACAAATCATGCATTGAGAACAGTTTATTCCTAATATATTTGTATATCTCAAACTATTTCATTATGCAGCTAAAACAAAGTAAACAGTATAACACGAACGATAGTAAGTAATGATTTAAAAACAAAAGTAACTTTAACTTAAGTGACAACCGTAATGTTAGTTATTTCCATACGAGGGAGAGCGCGGTAGAGCTATTACAAATAGCCAGTTTTCAAATTTAAGAATAATAACAAAACAAAATTTTTGGCATTTTTAAATTACATTGATGTCATATATCAATACAAGGGGTATTGAAAAATTGAGAGGGTTCTACAAAATGTTTTTTAGCTTTAAAGCCTAACAGTGCTCAAAGTTGCGAGATGTAGCAGCCAAGACTAATTTTAACTCATAGTAAACATGTTAATCATTTGTTGTATATATTTATAAATGTGTTTGCTTGTGTTCCAAAAAGTATTAGGTTATATCTATACCTCTCTAATAATTATAATAAAGATTTTTTACACATTATTTTAAACAACAGAAAACTGTGCAACATAGAAAAATATTTTTTAACGGTTGTAGGCTTTTTTGAGAGAGAGAACTTTTTTCATGAACAAGAAAACACTGTTAATATGTAATTATAATATCAGGATTTATTACGAGTTATATATCATGACTTAATATGACTTATAATATTATGAATATTATGAATACGTTTTTGGACTGAAATTAAAGACTTATTTTTAACAAAATTTTTTGTTTAAAACACAAAACTTAAAAATATTAATAAAAAAAAGTCTCTTTTTAGTATTTGAAGAGAAAAAAACATTAGACATCATGTTTTCTTATATGGTCAAGTCTTTTCCAAACACCCAAAATATGGTTTTGTACAAACTCAAGATCCATTTTGCCAAGACAGTAAATAATTCTAGATTTTAACTCATCAAGATTCTTTGCTGTCCAATGTCCTTCATAAACTTTTTTTTTTTAAGTTTATCCAAAAGTCTTCTATTGGTTGTGTTTTAGGGACATTTGCAGGATTGATCAATCTTGATACAGCTGCTTAACATTTAATTGGTATTGTTAAATCATTATGTATGCTAGCATGCTAAAGTCTTTGATCAGTGTGTAAATTGTCTGTAAAAAACAAATTATGCTCATTCATTATATCAATACATTATTAATATGTTTTTCAACAAATATTATATTTTAACAGTTCAACAAATATTATAATTTAAAAAATATTATAATTCGATAAGATTTTACTCTCATCAATATGACCACTTTTAGCGCAGATGACTTAGAAACCTTAGAGTAAGTAACTTATCTAATGTTTCAAATCTTACATTTTTCTAGGCGTCTCGGAGACATTCCCAGAGACTATTCAACAAATATTATAAGTTGAAAAATATTATAATTTGATAAGATTTTACTCTCATCAATATGACCACTTTTAGCGCAGATGACTTAGAAACCTTAGAGTAAGTAACTTATCTAATGTTTCAAATCTTAAGTTTTTCCAGGCGTCTCGGAGACATTCCCAGAGACTATTTATATTAATTTGGAACATTATGCGAACATTTTTGTCTAGCTCATCCCATAGTTTCTCTATAGGGTTTATATCAGATGATTATGGAGGCCAAGTCATGATTTTAAGCACTTTCTTCTTTTCTTTTATCTTAAAATAATTTAAACATATTTCAGAATTGTGTTTAGAGTCATTGTCTTGTTAAAAAACAAACCCTTTTTCAATATTACAAATTCCAGATACACCGCATGATGAGTCAAAATACTATAGTACATTTTTTTTATCCACTGTTGATTTGAATTGAACTAAATCATCAACTTTTCCTCTTCAAAAACCACCCCAAATTATGACATTATCACTGCTGTGTTTTACTGACTATCTCAAACAAATACCATTAACACGTTCACCTACCAATCGTCGGACATATAGACGTCTTCTTCAGTTTTTAAATACGAAGCCCAAACAGACACTGTATAATCAGGGTGTGGTCTTATAAACACTTTATATAATTTGAAAGCCATGACTCCTAAAATTATAAAAATGACTTCTAAATTGCGTTCTTTACTCTTTT